GTACGTACTCGGAATCTCTTATCGATGTCTCCTATAGAATACTCTACGCTTCCACGTGCTTCTTGAATCATCGATTCCATTGTCAATTTACGTAAGTACGCAAGTCTACATCCACGCGAGTTTAATAATTGATTATTTAAGGCACGTCTTGCCTCGGCAAATTTAATGACAGCCCTTTTATTATCTAGCTCGAGTGACCTCGAGTCATCGTTGGCGAGGATGGGTCTCTCAAACCGATACTCTTAGTTTAATTTGGTTTGGAGAGACACGTGGAGCTGTTGATATTGTCTGATGGTCAATTAATTCATCATGTTATACCTAATTCACGCTAGATTCAACCTTGGCGACCGAGTGACAGGAATAATTATTCTTAGAAATTTATCGACACGTTTCGATGACTTGGTCTGCGTTATTATTGAATTGTTGAATCAAATGTCCTTCGAAGAAGAAATAATTTAACTTCACATTCTTATTTTACATCTTAATTATTTTCAACACATTTGCCATCACTCGGATGTTAATACATATTAAATAACGAAAATTCCGGCAGGAAGGGAGTCTCTATTGTATTCGAATTTCGTAAAAATTCTCAAAACTGCAGAGATTGCGAGAAGTTGGGAAATCTTTCGTGTAACGATGCTTCCCCTAAGAAATTTATTTAGAGCGAAATATCTTTCTGGCTTTCGATCCAATTGCAATGGAAAACACGAGTTTTATGAAGAAATATTTGCTAATGCTCCGGTGATTCAGTTCGAAGTCTTAGGTCCACGTAACTATAAATAAGAAACATAAATCAATAATAATGATTGACGATTAAGCGATTATGAATGAAACGATCGAGCTGCGACTTTTACAGCTGATCACAAATTCGATAACTTTTCAATGGATTGCAATTGCTAAATTTCCTACCATAAATCAATCAAATATTTAAATTAGTCTGAAATTTAACTTAACTCTTTCCTCTCAGTTATGTAACAAAGAATATTGCTTTATAGTCGTAATATATACGTATGGGGAACGTAAATGCATGTTCGCGATTAATTTACGAAATATTACGAAAGAATTCAGATCGATGTTTTTACCGTCTTTTACCGTCGCGTTTTAAATGCGTGTATAAGTGATTCGTATAAATGATTCATTGCTATATATAAGATAGCCTTAAGAATCATGACAAGTCCTAGATGAAGGCTTAGAGTATATTATTACTCACAAGTTACATAATAAATGTGGAACGTAGACGCAGCGTTTATTTATTTTCGACCGTGACAATTATGATTCCAAAGGCTGCTAAAATGTTGAACTGTTGTTCTGCGTTAACTTTTTCCTCCAAATTTGGATATTAATAAAAATTAATAGGATTGATCGTTGATCTACGGGGTGGAGTACTGTTAATTTTTATAGCATCTGTTTACATTTCGTAAAACATTTCGATATCACTTTTATTTTAAACGTATGTACTTTGTATTAATCTGAAAGTAGCGATAGCGTGATAAAAACATTAGTCACCGGTGTGCCACCGGTGGCAGCGTTAATGGAAAAGTAAAAATTGTCCAGTGAAATGACCTCGATTGTCACCAGTTGATCGTTTCACATTTTCAATGAAGTCTGTCAGAAGGAAGAACGACCCGGCCGTGAACTATGAATTCCGAACAATAAATTCTGATTGAAGACTGTACGATTGGAAGCCGAGTCACATAGAAATTACGCATTGCGTTTAAAAAGGAAAGAATGAAAAAAAGGAAGTTAATAGCCTCATTCATCAATCTCAACATATACATTGGAATGGAAAAATGATTTCTTGCCAATTCTAACTTGTCCTTCATTATCATACAGTCAACTGAGAAGATTACTACTCACTTTGTTGCGATAGAAAGGTAGAAAAGTTTCATACTTAAAGGATGAGAAGAATCTCTTTACAAACGGGACCATTCTTTTTTTTACAAAATTCTTTCTATCTTGCATTAAAAGAAGGAAGATTCTCTTCTACAGGCAGGATTTCTACTTCCTCTACTTCCTCTGTAAAAATACTCAAAATTAATTTCTCCAATAAAATGCTTCTCCGTCAGTTTATGGTACACTTTTCCCCGACAGATCAGCATAAAAACGACACCACCTATGGCGAAGAAATATTACAGTTCCAACCCCTACTGTTCAGGACACGTGGCGCCAGTCGCATTGTTCCTGTTTTTCGTTTTTCGTTCTCTTTATTGAGTGTTCATCGTCAACTCTTACGAGAATACGTCCCCGCACGGACACGAATATGAAATCTGGCGCCAGATATATTGCCCTCCGCCATTTTCAGTCTGATAGAGCGTTTTTCAATGAAACGTTCGTCTTTCCCTCAGTATTGTTTAATAACGGTGCACGATATTAAAACTATTCGGTAGGAAGTTTGTGCTTGAATTATGGACCAATCGTTTTATTGAAAGAACGATGCGATCCAACGGGGAATTTCGGAGAAGAACGTTTGAGAGAATAATTGTATAAAATACCTCAAAACTGTCACTCTGTTGTTACTGTTCGTAATATATGATTACGAATAATTACGTGAGTTACGTGGTTTGTGAAGTGGAAATTTCTCGCGGCTTAAATATTTAAAATTATGTTGTTCAAAAGTGCCCGATTTGCAAATACTCCGAAACGAGAGGTTCATTTTAATTCTCGGCAAAATAGTATCTGCAACTCTAATTGTAAGTTATTTGTAATTCGTACATCGTCGTGAAAAGTTACAGTAATTACAAGAAATATGTATTTATATTCTTTTGCTTTCGATATTAATGCATGTTGTAACTATCCAACACGAATCTCATTTCAGAGAATGCTATCGATAATCTAATGTAAGCAACTCCTCGAGTCAGGTGTTGATAATTCACTGAAACGCGAATTCTGATAAACGCACGTTAACGTGAAAACGTCTTATTCTCAACTGTCGGGAAATAAATGAATTTATCTTGCAAATTCAGTTGTTGCAATCTTCCAACTTGTTACAATGTAATGGAACAAAATGAAGCGCCTTCATTTCCGTTATATTTCGCGTCCAGAGATTATCTAATGTATCTTCATTACAATTTCATTAAAAATGAAATTATGTGTTGAATAAATTTTAATTTGCATTGTTACTGCAACAGGCATGCGCATTCTCACGGAATATATAAATTTCGTTAGTATTCTAAAATATATATGAAACAATATCAAATTGGAATTGTATGAACTATGCAATATAGAGAAGTTGTCAATTTCCTCGAGATCATGATCAAACGAACTTGACACGTGAACTAGCAAAAATACTATTCGCAGAATGTAGTGGGTGCGATAATAACGAATATCTGAAAATAAATAATTTTATCAACACACATGAAACGATACTGTGACAGTATCTACGATCGATAGGCGGTATTGCATTCGTTCGGACTGTACCGGTCAGTCTTTCGTAGTCCTCGATTCCGTATAGTATGTGACACCGTACAGTGATTGAAAACCAAGCCACCTTGATCGAGTTATCGATCAGAATCGTCGTATGTCAATTCCCCAAATAATATATACGTACAACTTATTTATTAAGCGAGGGAATAAAAAATTCGAAATTCTGTTAAATTCCCATGATAAC